CGAATAACCAATAACATTGTCTCGTCCGGCAAAAAGGTTGAGCTTAAGTCGTCTCATTGTTGTCAACAAAAATTAAAAGTTCCTGATGTTATTAATTTCTTAAGCAATGAGAATCTATTTGGCAGTTGAGAGACGCTATTAATCAAGTAACGCCGAGAATGCCACGCCTTACTGAAAGTCTAAAACTTACCTGGAAATGGTTCTAAAAAGCGTTATTTAAACAATAGGTAAGGGTGACTGGAAATTAACCTCTTTCGGGCAAGTGTAAAATGAACCCCAGCAACTATTATGTTTATTAAGCAACACTGGTTAGTCATGATCTTGCAAATACACCATGTTCATGAACTCAACTCTGCGTCTTAAAAAAATACTTACACTAGTATACTATGTTAATAGATGTCCTTCACATTATATTTTCAACCTTTTTTTAAAATTCTATAAATTAGAGTAACTTGACAGTTGTACATGCAATCAGTATCATGAGTAAAATTACATGTATAATTTTTATATAGTATTTGCTATTTTTAATGATTTGTCTTTTTTTAATTCAGGTAATAAATCAAAATATTTAATTTTAATGTATAAAAAAAATTTCTTTCCGTATGCTAGTATTCTCTTTCTCCAAATCACAATTATGATATAGAGTATAACAGTAATTACATGTAATTATCTTGGACTAAGTCCGTTTTGTACATTTTTTTTTTCAATGTTGTGTAGAAAACGGAAAAAACTCATATCCACCCCTGATATGAGTTTTCATAGTCACACTTATATGCCCATATTCACACCTATGTTTAAACTAGGTTTAGCTGTAAGAAGGACTCACATTTTTTAAATCTGTTTCACACCTGCTTCTCAGGGGTGAGCTCTTCTCAGAAATTAAGGTAAACCTAAACCTGGTCTAGGGTAGGTTTAAATGTTAAAGATAGTATTATTCTAACTATGGAAGACCACATAGATGGTGTAGAATGGCTTGAACGTATTGACCAACTGTTTGTTAGACGACATAGAACTATCCGTGATAGATTACATCCATTTCTTTTTATAGGAATGTCAAAATTGTCAATTATTATTATTATCATTATTGAATAGTATACATCCAAAATGTAATGACTGTTTTTAGAAAATTCAAAAGATTCTTTAATATTTTCTAGATTAAGTGAATGTCTAATTAAAGTCTACATTGATAACTCCTACAAATTTATACCAAGCAGAACAATTATCTAACGGTGAAATATTAAAAGCAATTACTTTTTGCTAATTATAATTTCCTGATAATGATTTTTTATGATATTTACGTAAAGAAGTCCGTGTGTTTACTGAAAAACTGGGCACTTGATTCAATTTCTAATAAAATTTGTCAGGTTTTTCTCTTTTAAGTACGTGTACTCTCTCTTTTAAATACTTGTACACTTAAAAACGAATATTCGAATCATGAATTTATATTCCGAATTCGAATATCAACTAATCGAATGAATATCCGAATATTCGTTGACATCCCTACTTTTTTATGATGAGGAAGTCATTTTCTTGTGAGATTCCGTTTTAGTAAACGTGACACTCTCCTTATAATTGATATACTTGGAAATGATCTAGAACCAAATCAGAGAAAACTGATGTCAGTTTCACCCCTCAACCAGCTTTTGATGGCGTTAAGATTTTTTGCTACAGGAGCACTTCAGCAAGTGAATGGGGATTTATTTTGGATTTCACAGTCAACAATAAGTAGGGTTGTTAAAAGAGTTTCTCATAATGATTTCAGCTGAGTGGATGTCCTGATATTTACACCATTTCTACTGTTAAATTCCTTTGTTAAGTTTTCCCATTCCAAATTTTTCTTGTGGATCATTTTAGCATCAGTAAGCTTTAATTGTTTTCAATCATGTCCTTTTTTGACCCCACTAAATTAATAAGGGTACACTTTTGGAGTTCAGTAAAATTTGGACCTTTCTTCCCAGTACATGCAATACCAAATGAATTGAGCAAACAAAAGAGAGGTTCAGGTAAAACAAGTTTTATTTTAAGTGTGAAACACAGGTGAGTTCAAAGTAAACTCAACTCAAATGGGATTTAAACCCAGTTTACCTGAACTAGGCTTACTATTTAAATCTACCTTACCTAAGACACAGGTGTGAATATGGGCATTAGTCTAAGCATCTGGCGTGGTTTTCAGTCCATACCTATAAGTAGGACGATTCAATCATTCGGAAAAGCTTTTTCAACGGATGAATGCATTACATAACCTGATAATAGCGATAATGAAAGGGTCAATGCTTGGTCTTGGTTTATCCCCGGGGAGCCATATAAGCCATTTAATGTAAATAAAAGTACAATGAAAGTACCAGGGGTCTTTTATGTCGACTTTGTTTAATTGGTGAAAAAAGACATATTCAATAATTGAATGTTTCTCAATTTCATCTAATGGGAAAAGGGTAACGGATGTTACATGGAGCACTCTCGTGTATATATCTAGAGAGTGGAAGACAAGTTATGTATACGAGAGTAAAAAGGAGTAATACACTAAGTATGGAATTGCTGCGGCCTTAAAAACGTTATCCTGTACACGTTTGGAAGAGGGAAAAGCATAACTATGATAAGATGGACAAGCAACAGCAAACGGTCTTTTTAACATTGGATGTAATATTTATGTGCTGGATTATTGTTTTCAACATTTCATCAATTGTTGTCATTATACGAAAATCAAAATTGAGGAATCCCAAAAATTACCTGTTAATTTGCCTTGCTTTTTCGGACCTGTGTATTGGTGTGTTCGTGATACCAAATGTAGTGTTCTTGTCGCTTCATAATTCTCCTATGTCTGCCTTGGTTTGCCAAATGTGTATGTATTCCGAATTCATGGCAAAGGTAGCCCATGCGTGTTCGATTGTTGCACTTGCAATAGACCGATTTATAGCAATACAGTTTCCTATGAAGTCAAAGCAACTTAGAACCCAGAGAAACTATATGTTTGTTGTTGGTGCTATAACTGTTTTCTCTCTCCTGTACGGCATTCGTGGGCCTATCCTTTACAGACAGACAGAAAAGGTCATCCCAAGCCAGAACAACGGTAACAACACAGTGGTGAAATACCTATGTAAAGTTTCAGATGATGTAATTCCCATTCATTTAGGATTTTTGATTGTGGACTTTCTAGTGCTTTTTCTTCTTCCCGCCATTGTATTAATCATCTCGAATACTGCCGTATCCCGGACGTTAAGCAAGAAAGCAATAACAAGGACCGGAAAAATCCCTCCGCCATTACTTGCCACAAGGAAGAAAGCCATGCGTCTTCTACTTATTATGGTCGCCATCTTCATCATCCTGAACTTTCCACTATGGTATTATCGAATGGCAATGGACATTTTTAAGCAGAATATCCCGAATTCCGCAATAGTGAAACACAGTTTTTTGCTTCTAGTTTTCTTTTATAACTGTTCTAATGTGTTCTTTTACGGGATGCTGAATAGTGAGTTGCGCATGATGTTGTTTAAGATATTCAATGCGTGTGGACTCTGCCAAGACGTGGACATATCAAGAAGGTCCAGCTTCCTGAGTCATTGCTCCTCCAGTAACACAAGTTTATACAACATTTCAAGAAGACATACGAACTCTTCACTGCGAGAGATGACAGTAATTGTTGAGAATACTTAACTAATGCATGTCTTTGAAATAAACCTTCATTTCATTATTAAACTTGTAAAATTTAAAATGCGTTTTGACTTGTGACCTTACATTTTATCCAAAAAATGAAAACTATATTCTACGTGTAGATCCATTTTGAGCAAATTGATTGTGACGACGTGTTCAATTCCCGCAATACCGCAACAAATTTTACACCTCAATAAATAAGAAACAAAAAATAAAACTATGCATACACTTCATTATATTTCAGAAATGTATACACTAGTCCATCATGCTTTCCCTACCAATGCAGTCGCATTGACAAAAGAACGGAAAGATACATTTACAAGTCATGTATTTGTACAATCGATGTAAAGGGAGTTAACGCGATAAGATATAATTATACATCTCATAATAAAAGCTTTATTATTGATTGTCCAATTGTCATATTATTTCATAATTATAGCATTAAAATTCATAATAAAAAAATTAAGTAAATTTTAATATATTCTATATTTGATGGAATATAAGTGTGAATGGATGTCAATTCAACAAAGAAAATTTATAATGTTTCCCAGAAATTGTTGAGAATTTTTTGATACATTTACATGTCTATCCTAAAATGTTGAATTAATAATGTATAATTTAACATCTGTGACTGCTGATGTTCAAATATTACTATCAAAAAGGAACCCTATTTTAAAAGTATTTGCAGATTGTTTAGCCAGTGATATTTCTAAAACTGGGTATATTTCGCCGTCTACTTTGTATTTCTTGCTAGAAAATATTTTAAAAAGAAGAGGAATTAAGGTAAGGAAAAGAGTTGTAGAGCTAGAGTAACCTAAAAAATCACATATCAAAGAAGGATAGGACACTTGCTCATTAGAAACTGCATTTGGTATAGAAAATGGGTTTCATTCCTATTGTAGCCCTACTCTGTCTTTCTCTCTGCTGAATTCCTATCCATTTTTCAATATTTTGTCGTACATGAATCGATAATAGACAATGAAATATCATGTTTCAGAGGCATCCCTGCCTTTGTACTTCTTTGATAATAAATATCTATAACATGGTTTCTTTTTCAAAAGCACTCATTTTGAACATTAGCAATCGATCGGAAGTATACAAACGAAATGGTAAATTATTCATGAAAACTGCATTGTACATGTAGCAAGCAATGTCATTTGACTAAACAAATCACGCATCATTTGGTGTGAAAAAAAAATTCTTTGCATTATTTAAAAAATTGTATTAAACAATGTTAAATGAATTGCATTAAAGGCATGGAACTAAAGCATTAAATATGTTTTCAAACTATTAATCTTTTAATTTTTTTATATATATTTTTTATATATTTCAAAATCAAAAAAATTTTCTCAATAATTTCTGGGCACACTGTAATTAAAATCAGTAACAAAGCTTTGAAAAGATTAACATGTATATTTATACAACATTTATACATATTGATCACATAATTTATCTGAGAAACTGACAATCTCTTTTTATTTAATTCATTCTTATAAATCACCATCTCACATACATGTATCATCAACTGACAATGATATTGTTACTGATAAAACCTTGTCATAGTATTTTTCATCTGAAGAAAAGGGGTACATGTGTGTGAAAATGCATTTAAAATGCAAAAAACAAAATTATGTACATGTACATCATATTTTACAGAAGAAAACAAGCCAAATAATACTGTATTTTGTAATGGTAAAGCAATGTTAGTTACATGCATTTATGTTATTTTTATAACACAGACACACAAGTAGTCTAACAAAAAAATCTGTTGTACTTGAATATTGACATTCAATATGTGTGACCAAGATAAAATAAAAAGGCATGAAGGTTTAAGAATAGTTAAGTACATTTTCAAGTAAAGAACACATCAACATTCAAAAAATAGATTAAGTTTTAAAATTTCAAACATTGAAAAAAGTATATGAGTACATATGGTACATGAAAAAATCATCATTCAGTTGGTTCACATAGTTACATGTATCACTTAATAAAAATTCTAGAGGAAAATAAAGGCACATTTTCATTATTATGTGTGTGTGTCTACTTTGTAAATTAATCAGAAGAGAATATACATGAATTATACTTTTCATGTAGCATATTCAAATACTGACAGCATGTTACAAATATGGATAAAATAAAAAAAAAAACACGTAGCAGTTATTCATGCTTACATATGATAAAAATTTGGCATAGCTTTAACTTGACAAACCACAGCCTATTAATCTTCTAATGTAAGACTTCAACTCTATGACAAGTATTGCTACAAATAAGCACCAAAAAATTTCATTAATAGATTAAATAAATTTCATATTCTATCAAACCGGGCATCAATGCTATCAAAGAGCAAGAGCCATCTTATGCATAAAATGGCCCTGTACTTATATCAATTAATTAACTATCACCCTCTTTCCATTTTCATATATCAAAATAAAGTAGACATTTGGTGCTTTCATGTTCTATAATGAAATTTCTTTTTGAGAATCCAAATATTTGAAAACAGGCTCTGAGAAATTGCAATGTTCTTGAAATTTGCAGAAAATAAGCGTATTTGACTACCTTCAGCAAAGAATTAAAATATGAGCACAGCCTACGATCCAAAAAATAAAACATGTTTTTTGATCTTCAGAAATAGGCCTTTCATTATGTACTGGCATATTTTGGATCAGAGGTTGTGCTCTATATGAAATATTGAAAAAAACGCTTCAACTTTAGGTCATTTTCAAAGGAATTTACAGGATACGAGGAAAATGACTCAATTTATGACGTCATAATGCATTGACTAGATGTGAAATTACGTCACAATTAATAGATATGTGGTCACCAACAGTCCAAGTGATAAATACTGCATTTGCAACCTAAACTGAGCGGTTTTGAATTTTCAGAAATTCTCAGGGCCAAATAAGGCCCAAAGTGGCTCTACCTCTTTATCAATATTTTTCAATACTTCATACAGTACATGGATTCAAGTAGCTTAATTTTTTTTTAAAAATAAAAAAGAAATGAAGTTAAGTTCCTTTAAATACCTCAATCAAGATGATTTTAAATATTGATAAAACCAAATTAAACTTTAATTCTTTTGATTTTATACCATTATGGAAAATAGATATTAAGCAGAGATCATGTTCTGGGCCATAAAACTTAAATGAGCTCACTTTTGATATCCGTCTCACTTTTACCAATGGAATTAGTAGTAGAAAAGAGAGACTGAGAGCAAAAGTGAGCTCATTTGACTTTTTATGGACCCTGAACCATATCAATATGCGAGTTTCGAGACTGTAACTCTCTTACGACAGAGACGCAAAAAGTATCCATATCAGCATGGAATTGGGACGGGTTGCTGTGTATACAAACGTGCATAATTAAATGAACGAGTTTTTGGCTTTTAAAATTCATATAATGTTATAAAAAGATAATAACAGTAATGCATTTTAAGATTTCATTAAGCTCAACTATGCATATTTAATTTACATATCTACTTTCAATTAGGATATTTGAAAACTTGTAGTCTTTATAAAAAAATAAGATTTCCTTCATTATACAAACCTTTGCTAAAAAATTAGCGGGCTCCTTGAAGTTATAGTAAGGGAAAGAATCATTCAGATAGCTGACATTCAATGTCAGATCAGATATATATGTATTTCTTAGAGACCCATATCTCTTTCCTCGTCTAAAAAGTCTTACTTTGATTGATATTTCCTTTTGTTACAATTGTTTTGTTTAAAAAAAAAACGTCCTTTCATCAGTTTGGTTCTTTTTGAGTTGAAGAGTACATCCTGAAAATCATGTACATGTAGATATGATAAACCAGTATATCAATGATGCAATGTGTTTAATATAACTAACTGTCCCACCTGTCTGTTAATGCAGCAACAAAACTCCCCTCCTCAATGAAAGAGTGCAGAAAGGGAGATAATCTCGAAACTTGCGTATTGCTCCAAATGATCATTTTTTTTAGCAATTTCTGATTAAGTTGATGTGTTCTTTCTTATTCGATATATACCAGTGCTTAAAGCGCAATAATGATAATGGTTTTAAACAATAAAGATATATTTACATAAAGCTGCCCTCCATATTTGAGCCAACAGTAGATGTCCCATTTAAAAGATAGATAATAGATAATACATGCATTGTGATAAAACCATATACTAGGCACTTACATAGTCAAAAGCTTTCTAGAATTGTTATGCTCGGTATATGTTTTATCTATGGGCATTTCTGCTTTCTGAGAGCACCACGATCAGCACACATCATGAAATGGTTTCCATAGATCCGTCCAATGGATATTGCAACTGCTTTATGGTTATGGGAATAAAGCTGCCAAGCTATTCACACTCTTTAGCAGTCTGTTGCAGGAGCATGTATGCCTTGAATGGGACAAGTGACCATGGCCCTGATTTTTTCTGCGGTCAAGCGGGGCGCTGTTTGCAGGGACAGCCAGCGAGGGACTGGGATGCTGGTCTGAGTATTTAACAGTTTTATTTCAATCAAGACAGTTGAATGGTAATTTTGAATGTTAACCTTTTTGATCAAACCCATCAGTTCCATCCGGACCACGTGGTTGTCTCAAAATAGCCACAGTACAGTTATTATTCATGTTAAGTCTTCCATCTTCTAGCTGCATCAGCCTCGGTGGTCTGGAATTAAAAAATTAAATATTTCAAAAAGCGAGGTTCATAAGAGTCTTACTGACAAGTGCTGTCTATATAGCCAATAACAAGATTCCATGGCCACAGTGCTCACATGGATTATCTTGGCTCTGTTATTCTGCATCAGATTTTTTTCAAATTAACATGTACAGCTGCATTCCTGTGAAAAAAGTTTGATTTCTTGTTAGAATATACCAATAAAACTCAATGCTTTCTAGTCCCTCACTTCTTATAATTCCCCAAGTTTCTTCATTTTGGCATCATAAACTGCATCAATGTCCATGAAAACTCCTTCAAAATTTCATAGCCAAGGACTTTTTTATATCCTTGCCATTACGAAACAAACTAACTTTGGTGACCCACTCTCTACTGACCTGTTATTAGTCATTGTAACTTCCTCTTTCACTTCTGTTGATGAAGTTGAGCCTAAGATTCTTCTTCTTGCTTCAGCATACTCTGCTTCTCTTTGTTCCAAAGTCTTTGTAGGTTTGTTATTTGCTCTGCAAATTCAATGAACTCAATATTGAAAATCATTTCAATAAACAGAGCATGTAAATACTGATGTACAGGTACATATGCACCTAAATGAACAAAGGTCCCTTTCCCATGTTTACAATGCATAAACAAATATTACATGTATTCCAAAATTCATATCTACACAAAAATACTGTCACATCATAACCCAAATTCCAATTTCAAGTTTCAAATTGTTTTTAAAATTGCCAATTTAACTCTGACATAGTTAATTATGGTGTTATCTTTCTGTTTACTATGTCAGTATGTGATAAATTTAAAAGTTTTTTGACCACCGATAAACAAAATTTACTTTGTACAGAATAATCAATATGTAAAATATTTTTTTCCCAAGGAAAGAATTCATTTCTCATTTCTGAATTATTTACACAATTTCCAGATTTCTCCACTTTTCTTCACTTTATAAATGTACACTACAATAATTTTCGAAGACAAGAAAAATTCTCGCAGGATACATATAATTGTTTTGACAATCTGACAAGTAAAATTCACTAATTTTGATAAATCTAATTAAACAGTCAATCTTGCCTTGTCCCTTGGTTTGCTGTAGAATTAGCATCTGATTTCCTTTTTAGTATGCGAACCTGTGGAGCATACTGTGTTCTATTTCCATCTTCAACCACAACTGCTTCTGATGCAAGTCTACAAAAAATAAAAAGGCAAACACTGACATTTATTTATTTCACTAATAAAACTCATTAATAAAATAAATAAATTGTACCAATACATTCAAGCAGACATCATGCAAACTTAAAAGATCAGAGACATGCAATATAAAATATATTTTATTAGGCCTCTAAGGGTTGTGATATGATGTATATTTTTGTGTTCGTCTCAGTAATATTGAGTGTCTTATGCTGGAAATTGGAAAGTTTCAAAAAAGTAAAAAAAAAAAAAAACATTTTCTATAACAAAAAAATCTTTCTTTTGGATAGTTAAATTTGGTATAATTTAACAAATTTAAACAGCTCTTTCCAGTTTTAGACTAAATCTAAATCATTATAATTAAGAATTCCCTTTAATTACATTTAACAATACATGTAATGCACATGAATATACAAGCATAGACAGTCCTAAAAACATTGAAATACCTTCTCAGTCCATGTGCACACTGCTAATGCAGACTTACTTTTTGGATTCCTTTAATTTCATTTCTTCTAGTTTCTTGTCAAGATCCTTTAAAATAAAGAAAAATTCTGAAATCACAAAACTGTCAGGAAAAAATCCACAGTTGTAACAGTCCATGTCAACAATGTAGACATAGCATGTTTATTTGAAGTGAGAATATTACAAAAATATGTGCATTTTTCAGAGAAAAATACATCAGGGCTCGACATTAATGCTTGTCCAGTACTGATGAAAAAAATTATGGACAAGTGAATATGCTGGGAACTAGTCCAATTGGACAAGTCACTTTAGTGCATTTTAATGTAAACGTCTCTTTATAATAAAAAGAACAATTGCTGAAAGTTAATTCGTAGTTTCAAGTCAGAAGCTGTACATAAACCCAAGCTTCAATTGCTATTAACTGAGATCACATTCAATCAGGATCCAAGTTCACTAACTGCATACTTCTGGAAAGGCATGGAACTTACAAAGTTTGGATTCTGATGGATGTTGACAGGTTCACTTGTGTACATTTATGTTGTTGTCAGGACAGAAAGCCTAGATAAAATTTCATTTTCTGTGTTTGTTGTATTTATAAATAATATCATGAATCAATCAAAATTTACAATAATATCACGGATCAATCAAAATTTATTGAAAAATTTTCAGACAACTTGAGACAAGTGAAGTTGAAGTTCCGACAAGTTAATGTCTTGCCGAATGGTTACTTGTCTGAATGGACAAGTAGGAAAAAAAGTTAATGTAGAGCCCTGTACATATATAACTGCTTAATCAATATTTAATTTAATTGATACTTTCAGTTACTTTCCAAAAATCATGTCAGAGTAAATCCATTCTCTTATTTACTAGATTGCAAATATATAGAACATGTTCTGAATGTTGAAGGGGCTTGTTCAAAGATACAGTTAGATCATTTAAATTCTAACTTGTTTGTCCGAAACACAGTTACATTATTAGAAAGCAATTTGTTTATAGCCGCCCAATGTAGGACAAATAAGTAGATCATATGAAAATTGACAATAACTGGATGGTGCAATCTTTCAGAATTGTTAGCTTGTTTCAATCGATACAAAATGTTTTTGATCAGCACAGTACATATGTACTAATTATCTCAGGATTAATGTTCCTTCATCAGCATGTCAGATAAGAGCATAATTTGATGAACCCCTTGTCACAAGAGCATAATTTGATGAACCCCTTGTCACAACAAGGAAAGCTTTATAGCATACAAACATCTGGGTTTTTTCCGTTTTAATGAGTATTTTTCAGTCAATTGAAGAAAATGCAAGGGGCTTTGAATGAAAAGATTTAAAAGACTTTCTAGCCTATACTAACACATAGGGCTAGAACTGTAGAAGATAGCAACTTTACCCCAGTATCTTCAAACTCCTCCCAGCAATCAAGTACCTCTCCATTCGCGTCTTCTGCCATACTATATATGTGTAAATATATATTTTCTCTCAATATCAAGATTACTATTTCATTTGATTCGAAAGAGGGGTGGTGTTTCTCAAACTATTTTCATTTCAAACGATTTTTGCGACCTGCCAAAAGTGAAGACGAAGTTCACATAACATAAAAGTAAACTGTAACCGTGAAATATATCCGGATAGAACTAAGCACAATAAAAAAAAATATGTTAAGATAGAAAATAATTCAACGTATTGTGTATATTCTATGTATATTGAATCATTTGATAACTATATTCTTTTAATTCTTTAAATCGAATAATTTTTAGTTCTTTGGTAACAAGATGCAAGATCTACTAAACGTTTATAATCAAGCGTATATTGCAAGCGTTCATATGATTAAGTTTGTTGTCATTTTAGAAGGACAAACGTGAAACCGTCAGAACAATGTCAAGTGGTGATCATAATCATGTTTCTGCTCATGACAGTGCTGTATTGAACAGAATATTCAATCCCAATTTACCATACGGCGATGTTGTGGACGAAGAAGAAGTGGAGAATGAAACTGGTAGTTGCAAAAGCATTTTTTTTCTGTGTCATCATCCACCCAAATGTTAAATTTATCAATTGCCAGTTGATAAATTTAACTAATTTCTTCAATCAAATGGCAAGTCGTCACCTATGAGAAATGTTTTAATAATACCAATCTAATGTGTTTATGTTGCTTCATATCTTTACTTTATGGCCAAGCAAGTTCAATTTGCAATCTACATGTCAGATTGCTCATGAACTGATGAATGCAGTTGTTTCAGCTGTAATCAGGGTGATAGGAGGAGAGAGAAACGCAGTGGACCAGACTGGGATTCGAACTCTGAGTCCCTCCGAATCTCCAGTCAGGTGCGCTATCATCAGAGCTATCTGGCAACCAGTAATCGACCTGTCTCTTCCAGGGCATGGCACAGCACCAAATGTAATGGGAAAGGAGAAAAATTCAGCAGACCAGAATGAGATTTGAACCAAGGCCCCCTGAATCTGTAGTCAGTTGCTCTACCAACTGAGCTATCCAACCACTGCGAATTCAACCTGATATGACAGCCAAAAAACATTGTCTAGAATTCACAGGATCAATGTTTGAATCCTGGTCTGCTCTTCTCGTTTTCTAACTTTCCTTTATATTGCTATGCCTTGGAAGTGACATGTAGGAGTTGTGATGTATTGCTGGGGCTTATGCCTGTTATGAGAAAATGTGACATGATGTAAATTATATACTGCAGAATGTAAGAAAATCTATCATTTGAATGTTTGAAATCTTTTAAACTAATGTATCTGTTAATACAGAAATTAACCAACGTTTATGAGAAAATATATTTATGTAAGTATTTGTTTCATTTCAGAGGAAGAAACTGATGAAATTAAAGTCTCAAAGCAACTAGAAATTGAAGGGGTCCAAGCAGCTGAGAGTGGGGACATAGAGACAGCATTAAATTCATTCTCCAGGGCCATTCAAAACACCCCTCAAAGGGCCTCAGGTTATAATAATCGTGCACAGGCTCTCCGGCTAAAGGGAGATGTCCAGGGTAAATTATATATAGATAAACATTGATTTGATGCAAGTATTTTTTTATATTCTCAGGCAGAGAAAAAACTTTATTTTTCACTACAATGTATATGATTGATAAAACACCACCCTAACCCCAGAACCTCTGACCAGGGAATATGAATTGCACATTTTAGAAGAAGTATTCTTGCTTGTCTTAAGGATACACCAAAGGGTTTTTTCAAGATTTTTGTCAATTTTGAGATTTGTGGCTAAAAAAACAATGCGAATGACTGCTTTATGATGCATGAAAAATTCTTCCTGATTATTAAATGGTTTCTAATTATTTAACAATAATCAAACATAAACACTAACACATGTGAATGTGCCGTTATTGAAGCTTCTGATTTGGTCTGTAACTGCCTGCTTCTGAAAGGAGCAATAAATCACTGTGACCACTTGGGGAATTCTTCACTAGCCACACAGAGGTTAACAGTAATTAAACTACAGGGACTCTAGATTTAGGGAAGGAGATCTAACAGGTCACTAATGACTGTGAAATAGGAGGTGGGGCTTAGCTTTTGCCATTTTGCCGGGAAATCTTTCTGATTCAGAAATGAACCTATTTTACTTCATTAAAAGCACCTTAATAAAGAATAGAACCTCCCATTCTTGTGAATATGCATAGGAAATATGGATAAGTGACAGGTATCCAAAGCTGAATCTCCAAGGTATATATTTCTAGTATTTGACAGACTTTGTTGTGTGATGGGTTTTTGCCCTCTACTGTAAAGTAAGATCAGACAGTTGGTGGTATTATTTCAAAGGATTCAGCTCCCTCATTTATTGACCAATTTCTCTGAAAACTGGCCAGAATGCATCTCAAATGTGTGTTCACAAAACCATATCTCAGATTTTTGATATTTTGCTCAGTTCTCGATTTATTGGGGGAAATGTAGAATTTGGGTAATAAATCAGTAACATTGAAAGAAAAATGGATGTAACTTTTGAATAAGAAGATTTATCAAAAAACTGAGATACATTTTTAAAATTCAATCTTTAATCTACATTGAGGCAAAATTTTGACTTTGAAAGGTGGAATACAAAAAAGTTGATTTATAAAATATAAATGCACTAATATTTATATTAAAATATTAATAATTTGTTGATAAGATAAAAATGAAAGTTTATATTAGAATCATTAAATAGTACATTTAACAAGCTTTCAAATGATATATATACTTTTAATATGTTATCTTTCATAATGAAAGAATTACAAGCAAATTAAATTTTGCCCTTTGGAAACCTTTGGTGTATCCTTAAAACCATTTAAATAATAGTTTGTATTAAAATAATACATAATCATGAACTTAGTTTGTTCAATTTAGTACTCCCTGCAGAATAAAAAAATGCATATTCCCTTTATGACCAATAGAGCCCCACCCAACACAGAAACCCTTAGAACTGTCAACATTAGGAGCCATAGATTTCATAACTTTGGAAGAAGCACCCTTGGTCATCTGATCATAGCTTTCCACCTAGTATATCTGCTAGATAATTAGAGGGGGAAATACCTACATGTATGAAGAATATATGCTACATGTAGTACATTTTTCTATATGTTCTATGGAGCCCCAATCTCACACAAGAACCTCTGCTCCTGGGGCCATGAATTTCACAGTTTTGGTAGAGGATCGACTCAATGCTCATTACAATTATTATTCTTATGTCAACATGAAATGAAAATACATTAATTCTTTGAAAATCCTTTACTCTATTCTTGAGTATTTTAAGACAATCTATGTGTAAACTTATGGTAGGAGAACGTATTGTTTCTCTTTTTTTAAATTTGTTTAGTTATGACCTGGGGTCAGGGGCACTGCATGGAGTTGGATTTGGCTGCAATAATCTAAGTGACAATGTACTGTTTGAAAATCTTCTCTACTCTTGAGTATTTAGCATAAAAACTAAGTGCATGATTATGATGTGAATGAGTGCTTGTAGTGAAATTGTGACCCCCTGCGACAGAGGTTCTGGAGTTAGGTGGGGCTCTATATAGACATCATTTAAGACATTTGAGTCCAGATTTATTTGAAGGTGCTGAGTTAGATGACGAAAACCAATTTTGAAAAAGGATATAATTTATTTCTGATTTTTTTTTTCCAAAATTATTTACAAATACCCCTGGTACATGACATGTATTAAATTTTTTTGAACAGGTTGAAAACTTGAAAATAATAAAAGTTATCAGGGTTTTTGATTTTATTTTCAATTGAAACAAGTTAAGAATTTTTAAAACAAAAGAAATTTGAAATTACTTAATATTTAATATGTTCAAACAATTGCTTCCTCTAATATTTCATCCATATATTCAATCTCCTATGCAAAGTTGTGGTTTGTTCCTGCACTCTCGGACACCTTTGCAATGGGCTCACTGTAAAATTAGCTAGACATGCTGGAATGACTGCTAGTAAAAGTTGTCAGCCCTACCAAAAATCCTCTTGCCTGAGAAAACAATAGTCTTTTACAAATTTATTTATAGCGATTATGAGAATGGGGCCAGACCACCATAACTTTGATTCTGAATCATTCTATAGGCTAATAAATTCTACCCCTTTTACCCATTACACTTTGCTACCGATACTTTAAGATAATCTGAAAAAGATTTATCAAATATATGAATTTTGATTTAAGGGAAATTTTAACACTTCGAATCGGGCGTCGATATGTGCAAATCTTTTTGCCCATGGCAACATTTGTGCATCTCGGGCAGACAGGCACACAGATATTTCAAAAACTGCTGTATGCCAGCCAACAACAGAGTTGATTGTATGAGCTGATGGTTGAGAGTGCCATTTATTATGACAATTTTAAACCATAATTTTTGATCATAGTAATTCTGATATTACAGAGTTTCCGAAAACAATTTTTTTCTATCAGTCATTCGGACTGATGGCATGGTGTATTTTACCGGTCCGAAGCAAATTCTATCAGTCCGAAGAAATTTTATTATATTAGTAATTACAGAATAAGTTTTCATACCTTACTGTTTTTCAATGTTGTTTATGTACATAACAGGTGAGTTAAGTTTTTTAAAAATAAATAAATTCAATGTATTCAATTTTTTAATAATTCATTTCAAAATTCTCTTTCTATTTCCATTTCTCTGACAATTTCTCTAATTCTGTTCTCATTTTCACTTTCATTCTGTTCAAAGTCAGACTCGCACTCTGATTCACTTTCACTCTCTGATTCACTCTCATTTACAGCCTCACTCTGACGTGTCTCAGCATCTTGTTCAATATCAATAATATTTGATTCAGTGTTCTCAATCTCAGTTTCAGTCTCTGTGACACTCTCGGTTACAGTCTCAGCTTCTGCATGCACCTGCTCCCTTTTCTTGAATGATGATCTTTTGTAGGAGGTTCTTCTATTTCCTGTCAACTATAAAAAGAATACAATGGATTTTCTCATAAACTGAAATGAAAATTTATGAGGAAACAACTATTTTTTTTTTAAATTTTGATTTCATACCATCCATCTGTCAATTGCTGGCTGAGGATCAAAGTCCATAATTTGTGCTGATTCCAGTCGGATCACCATGCAGTCATTCAAATGTTGGTTGCTTAGACGATGTCTTCTCTCTGTTTTCAATAGTTTCATCTGATTGAAGGCAGTCTCGTTAATCACACTTGTTGGTGGTAAACTCAGTACTAGATCAATGATGTTGAGAACATTTGAGACTCCACAATCAGAGAAACTATTGAAAACATCCTCCCAGCTCACATCACGTAACTTTCCTGAAAACCTGGAGAAAAATAATAAACTCTTTTTCAATAATGTATTAATCATAAATTTGTTGTTGTTATTTTTTGTTAAATTGATATGACCATGCAAATCCAATCTGAATGAAAAATGAAATACCTCTTGTAGACTAAACTTTTCAGTGTCTGCCACTCTCCAATTAAGTCATCGTTATTGGAGTTGACCTGGTCCAATGTACATTGAAAGAACTTGGATATTGTGGAGACCTCCTGAACACCAAAGTCTAAAAATGATTAAATTGATAAATTCTATTTATTAATTTTTCATCATATGAATTAGAACATTTCCATAAAATTGATGAGTCACAAAATTTGTACCTTTGCTTTCTGATTTGTGATGTTAATACAGTATCTGTTAGTCAACTGAAAAAGACAATCAACAATGAATAACAAAAAATAAATTAAAAATAAAAGAATACAATACAAAAAAAGTTAACCCAAAATAGTTAAATAAAGTCAAAACAAACTGTTACATAAATTTAGTTTACCTGACTCATTCACTGTAGGCCAATTTCGGAAACTAGCAATAAGGGTAGAACTAAAAAGTTCTTCATTATCATCCTTGTACCGAAGATCCATTTGTTTGATTATGCCACCAACTATCTCTGATGCTTTCTTTTCCATATCCATTTTTCCATTTCCTTTTAGAGAGTATCCAAGAAATTGCTTTGTCTCCAATATCTGCATTGTTCTTTGACTTTTGCTGTAAAAATATTAATAATATATATACTATATAGTTCAACTAAACTTATTAATCTAAATTGCCATCAAATTTAAGAAAGGGTTCAATTTATATTTGTACCTTAGCTCAAACAAATTAAGAACATCTTTTGTCGATGATATGGCATCCCGAGCATCTGCTAAGGTTAGGTCTTTTCTTTGAAACATCAGTGATAGTCTAGCCAGTGGCTTCACAATATCCTTGAAATGCAAATTAATAATTACCATTTTAAATATAAAATAATATTACATCAATACATGTAACATAACAAAGATCATACAAATAATTTTTTTAATCCTTTTCAAAGTTTGATGTATGTACCTCTAAAATGGATGCAAAAGCCAGTATTTGCAAATTACACAGCATCTTTGCCAAGCCTTCTGCTTTTGGGTTAACATGGCTAGCATTCTGCAGTTGACTGAGGAAGGCTGGAAATGTTCTGAACAAGTTTTCTAAAGCCCGCTTCATATGTGGGAGCCACCTTGTACTGTTGATCTTGTGTGGTAGGGTTCCATTGATGTCCAACACCTGGTTGAAAATTGATTACTTATTAATATATTGATAAATATAAATTTTCAATTACAGTATGTGATACCTTTTTTAATAACAAATATAATTGTTCACTAAATTTCTCATGAAAACAAACCTTGATGCATTCTCTTAAGCTCTTCCTTTGCTTTGACGAATTCTTGTAGAAATAGAAAAGGCCCAACAATAGAGTGGATAACTGTGTATACATTTTGTCTTTTTTGAATACATCTCGAAATGCAAGTTCCAGGCGATGAGCAATACAATGGACCCCTGCAGAAATATGAAATTTCAAAACTGTCGTCAATAAATAAAACAAAACAAAAATTATTGCAATAATTTTTTTTTTCATGGATTCTAAATTAAATTTTTTACCAATTAGTTCAGGGTGGCCCTCTTTCAACCTGGCTACTAATCCATTTTTCACTCCAGTCATGTTAGACGCGCCATCACTTCCAAATCCTATAAATTTCTGTACATGTCGATGATCATTTAGCCCATTTTCATTCATCATTCTTTCCACAAATTTGAAAAGGTCTAAGGAACTGGTAGACTCTGGCTCCCCTATACACAGGAAGCGTGTAGTAATTTTTCCATGGACTGAAAATCGAATAAATATAGTTTCTTGTTCAGTTGTACTCCCATCTGTACTGCCATCCATTGTAAGTGAAAAAAATTTAACAACATCCATCATTTTTTCCAATTTCTCCTTTTCACAAGCTGAGATGTTTTCAAGAAATGTAGTGGCAGCTTTTTGGTTGTTGTATGTGTTCCCGTGGGAAATCCCTTTAGCTTCATCCAGTTTATTTAGCCATATAAAATCTGATATTGGCCTGTTGTATTTGATTAATGCGTGAATATTTCTGAATTTGTTTATGATTTGGTTTCTCACAGAATTGTTCATAGAAATTACACTTTTATGTGCAACTGTTTCTCGATTTTCTGCCGCTAATCGTGATTTGGTAATCTCTAGAGATTTAAGGTGAACAGAAGAAGTTTCGTGATCTGCTACTGTTGAGAAACGAAAATTCTTTGATCCAGAAGTAAAGGTAGATTTCGGAAATGACCTCGTTTGTCCTACCTCGATACAGATGGAGCATGTCATCCCTTTTTCTACGCTATATTTTAACCAATCCCTTTCTCTCTGCCATTCTTCTTTAAATTCTCTGACCCGATTTTCCTCGTATTTCTTTTTATCAATCACCGTATTCTTTTCTTGGGGGGCTTTACGTTTTATACCAGGCTTTGAACCTGGCACAAACCTGATAGGCCATGACATGGCGTACAATGTTTCCAAGTATTACAAGCGCTTAACAGATATAGATAGTTTTCGATAGGCCTGAATTTAGCGAAAGTTACCTCCCGTTGGCCGCCATATTGGAGGTCGACTCAGTGATTTTCCCTCTTTGTCTTACCAAGTTTAAGAAAATATAGCAGAAATATTTGGTGGAAAATCTTTATCAAATAATTTTTTTTAAATAAAGGAGGCTTCCAAAAATTTATATACTTCAGAAAAATAATGATTTCTAATTCAAAATAGCAGATATAAAAATTTTAAATTGGTTGAACAATGAAGGAATATGAGCATTTGGACCTCCAGTATGGCGGCCAACGGGAAGTAACTCTTGGTCAATCGAAAACTATCTATTATTAAAAAAGTATCTTTCTAAAGCGTTTTTGAGATTACGACGTCGAAAAGACAAAACCTCTAATGGTAGAGCGAAAAAAATCCGGATTGTTACGACAGCAACAATCGGTCACGCGGACCGATAATCTAGCGAGTTCTATCGGACATTTCGATTTTCTATCGGTTTTGCCGGTAGGACCGATAGTTTTCGGAAACTCTGTATTACATAATTTTTT